CTAATTTAAGATACCTTGTTTTTACAAGTGATTTGATGTGTTTGTTCATTCACTCAAATAATTGTCATAGAACCATATGATGTTTTGTTCAATTTTGTTCCAGTACACAGGATTGAATAATATTGTTTCCAGGTGTTGACCCTTTTGGGTATAAACAAGGAAATGACACCACTTTCTGCCTGTAACTGCAAGCTGTCCTTGTACTTGTGCAAAGTAGTGGTGGTTTTTCTTTAAAGTGACCTTGCAGTTGTTGCTTTCTAAATACATCACGTTGTCTGGTGATGGCACTTCATTAACAATTGAATAAGGGCACTTGACTAAAACTCCTTTGCCACAACAGGAGCATTCAATCAACAAATCTGGTGATGCACCAATGAATTGTTTTTTTCATAAATGAAAAGTCCAAACTCTCTGAATTTAGCTTCTCTGTGTTCTTTTTTAAAAAGTTTGACATATTTATTTTTTGCTATATGTTCCATGTTTCTGCCATATTTCAAGGCTGGTAAGTTTTCTGATGGCGCAGAAACACCCTTAACCAAACACCCTCCACCAAGTTATTGGCATCACCTCCTTTTGTTTTGAGAGTTTTAACCTTTGTGTACACTTTGTAGAAATTCGATGCAGTGATCCTTCCCTTTCGGAAAGCATACCATGTGGGATTGTCAGACTGACCGATTGTTCCTTTTTCAATTCGTGAATATCCTGAACACTGAAGTGTTTCTTTGACAAATCAGGCACAGGATGAGAGGATTTTCAGAACTGCTGTGCTCTTCTTCAAATTCTGCTTTACCCAACTTGGTAAGATTTGATTCAGGTAGCAGAAATTTGAGCCCATGGTAAAATTTTTGTCTCTTTTCTTTTGAAGTTTCAGTTTTTACTTCACTGTGAGAAGCAAACAATATTCGACGACTGTCAACTGAGGGTCTGGCTGGTTCTTTGAAAATATGATGATAGCAATGGTGTTAACATCGAGTTTGTATTTTTAGCAGGTTCATTTACATTCCACTGTTAAGAGACTTACAATAAATGTGTATAAATAATAAGGGATATAAGGAAAAAACTATTGATACATGTACATTTCCATGACTCATACACTGTCTTGATGTGTGTTTGTGTGGATGTGTTTTGTGCCCTTGTTTTTGCCTAACTTACGAGTGTAAAGAGACCATGTAATAAAAAAACCATACCTTTGTTTAGCTTTGGTGCTTTCCAATCCATTTCACATATTCTGGAGGGTTTGATGACAGTTTTGGCATTGGGTACACTCCAAACACAATCCTTAGATGTGCATGCAGGATTTGTCAGGCCATTGCGGTTGGCAGCCAAAATTCTAAACATCAAGGCTGTGACATGGATACAAGTGCTGCTCATTCTGAAAAAGAAATACATAAAGTAGTAAACATACAAATAATGATAATTACTGTTGCTCAAGTGGACATAAATTATAATTTTTGATTGAAACACACGTTTTTTAGAAATGTTATATTTGCTTGTGACATAAGTTTGTGATTGACTTTTGTTGATCAGGAAGATAGTTTTTGCAATTCAAAAACAATTATTATCTTAAATATTATGACAATATCAGTATAAAGCTACATACCCAGCAACACAAGTACAGTGTGCCCTGATAATGTATCCAGTCTTCTTTCCTGCACAAGCCATGTAGTGTGAGGAGTATCATTTACCTTCATTGAATGAGTACACTTTGCTTTTAAAATGCAATATACGCTATTGTCATCAAGAGGATGATACAGTACTTCTTTCAAAAACCCTGAATCATACAATCGGTATGCTTTCCCTTCTTTATACTCATTCAAGACTCTTTCGTGTAGTTGGACATCCTTTCCTGGGTGATCTTGCATTAAATATTTAGTAATATCACTTAAAAACATAGGAGGCCACGAAGTAATGCCCCTTTCTTCTCGTATCAAACCTTCGTTGAGCTGTAGTGGGTCTTGAAGCTTTGAGCCATCAGGTGTTAGAAGAAGCTTAGCTCGCTCTGACTCGCTGATCGATATCAAGTCTTTTGCAGACGCCTGTTCTTCAATACCCATCTCTSAGGCGGCAAATACTCTAGCAACAAGTTCAGCTTTGGCTCCAGTTGTTTTAAGATTGCGTTTTCAGCAAAAGAACTTCAATGCGTCAACTTTCCATGTTTGAACTTCTTCAAACGAAAGCTCGCCCGTTGTTGAGCTCATCGTAGCTCAAAAAAATCACTTTCAACTGTATAAAAAATCTATGAAAAGTATCAAAACTGTATACAAACTATTATTAAACTGCATTCGATAAAAATATCAAAACTATATACAAACTATAAACTATATGATAAGAAAAAGAAGCATTACGAAAGCCATAAAATGTACGTCAAGATGGCGGCGAGTCGCGTTTGGTGCCCACTTTTTCTTGGTATCACCCCAGCATGCATTGCGCTCGCAGTTGACAACTGAAACTCTCGATGCATGTATATGAATAAATGTCCTGCCGACCCATGGCTTGTATTTAAAATATATATTCCTGCCGTTATAAGGCTAGCTTTTGGGCTCCCTGTGCACAATTTACCATGTGAGGACTAATTTTTACAGGTAGGTGTAATAATAGTGGTTTGTACAAAAGTAAGGTAGAAAACTAGGAGCATTACAATAAAAAAGGGTGTAGGGTATGATATAAAGTTAACCTTACCTAGGGGGAAATGTAATGGAGCTGGGGCAGGTTGTGCCGCAAGGGCATTTAGGGCAGCATTATTGGGTTGTTGTGGAGCGGCCATGTGGATAGCTTCGGCGACAAGAAGGGTATAACAAAGATATATCTTGTTCGTGGGCAGGTCAAATAGAAAAAAGTCTTGAATTCGAGTGTTTGAGTCCTTAAATATGCTTAACTGCAGCATGCGTGAATGTTATTTAGACTGAGTAACACCCTCCCGGGGGAGTACAGTGTTTATCTTAACGCACGCCTGCAAATTGCGGTATTTTGAGCAATGAAAATAATATAATAGAGAATATAATAATAATAATAATAATAATGTATTATAATACTTACAGATTAAATTATTATTTAATTATTCTATGAAATGTCATATTTATGAATCCGCTTTTTCAGCGATATCCATCTAATCCAATATTTCTAAAAACGGATAACATCTTTTTGAATGTTGCGGATATTACGGATTTATCAGATTTCAGAAGAACAGATCGATTTGTATTATATATACAATATATAATATTTACCGATTAAACATTTATTCTGTG